TAAAATCTTTTAAGTTTTAAGTATTTTACTTTTGGGATCGTCCATGTAATGCGAAATTAAACTTATAGACAAAATACATATCTCAAAAACCGTGTTTCTCTGATGGTCAAATATATGTTGCATGTTCAAGAACAAGAGCATTTAACAGTTTGTTTTTCAAAATTGATAAACTTCCTATTCAAGGTATGGTAGGTGAAAAGTGTTACACAATTAATGTTATATTTTCTAATGTTCTAAATTTATAGTCTTTAGATTTTTGTTTCGAAATTTACTGTTAAAGATTGTGAGCATATTTTGATTGTATAACTTTATTTATTATTATTATTCTTTTTTTCATAGTTTTTGATAAACATATCTGTCATTTCATATTGTTATAAAATGTGTTTGTATGTGTTATATAAAGTCATATTTGTTTATAGTTGTAAATATGTTTAAATTATGTTGTTTTCATGTTTTCAAAGAGGTGTGTCTTGGTATTATGTTAAGCAAGTTTGATAATCTTGCCAGCCAAGCAGTGTATTTATAGCAGAGGTGTGACTTGGCAGCAATTATTGCCAGACAGTGTTACTGCTTTAGAGCTAGGTTGTGTTGTCTAGCCTTTTTTAATTATTCTGGAAACACATAATAATGTCTATTAATGTTTAGCATAATGTGTACGAGTGAGTATGCAACCTTAATCTTTTAATCAAGGGTGCTTTAATATCCTAAATTTGAAATAACTAATATTGAATAATTAATATTGAATATAAAAACAAATATACTTTATTAAAGTTTAGTAAAATGATAAATAAGTTGCTTTTTGCTAGCTATTACATAATAATAGCATCATAATTACTAATACCATAATTCATAGTATTAAAACTAAATTTAATCTGATATATCTAGCCTTGATATTTCAGAATAAGTTCAGTTTTAATACTACCAAAACTAAACTTAGTCTGAAATATCAAGGCTAGATATATCAGATTAAGTTTAATTTTAATACTATGAATTATTGTGCTACTAAAAAATAGCACACTTTTTGTCATTATCTACATTGTAGAGTTACATATCTAAATTGTAGAATTATTCTAGAATATAGAATAAAATGCTAGAAAAGTAAACTTTCTTAGTGTGGCTGATCATCATTTCAAACTTGAAACAAAAAAAATCCTGCCCGAAAAACCTTTAAAAATAACCTTTTTTCCCATATAAATAAAAATTCTGTAATTAAAAAGAAACTAACTAGAAGTTAAATAGAAAAGGTGTTCTTTATAATAGATCTATATATATATATATATATATATATATATATATATATATATATATATATATATATATATATATATATATATATATATATATATATATATATATATATATATCTGTTGTTATAGACTCTATAACAAATCAAGTGTGAGGAAAAATATTCTTATTCAATTACACAAACCCATATTCGCGTCCCGCATAATATATAAATTTGTGATAATTTCACACTAAGTCATTGTTGTAAACTTTAGGCGCAATTTAAAATAACTTTTATGTCAATAAAATATATAAATTTTATTTATTTTGAATTATCAATAATATAACTGTTTAAATAATAGCTGATTTAGAATTAAAATTAATAATACTCATTCAAAATCATACAATTATATAATTTATCATATGCTTGTAATTAAATAATTATTTACTTTGTGAGGTGAAAATTTTGATTTTTTTATAAATTTGTCTAAACTGATATCAAAATGTTTCACCAGAAGACGACATCTAAATTAATTGATTAACTACATGAAGCACATGAATTTTTTTTTTTAATATAATTAACCGCTGATGTGTAATAAATTAAAGCATTATAAAATCAGAGAATAATTGACCTGGATAAACATCTTAACAAAAGTTTTTAGCAGAATATTACTGCTGCAGATATATGTTTTCTCTATGCTGCAAGATTTATCTTTGGAGTTCAAGTATAGAAAGTAATATGTTTGAACGCATCAAAGGATAATTAATTGATTCAAGCGATTTTACTGACAAACAACTGCAACACTTTTCAACAGCACCAAATGATACAATTTGTTATGATTGTAAAAATTTAATTCTTAGTTGAATAAAAAAGACTAGCATCAAGCTGACGTGGATACTAATGGAATTAACTATTAATTAGATTGTCTAAAACTGTGAACTACTTTTTTTTTGCAAAAAAAAAAAAAAATCTACATTTTCAGATTGTTCATCACCTATCAGACCGTACCAGTAAATTTTTTAGGGGGTCATTTTTGAAAAATGAGGCAGTTTAGAAAACCAAATAAATATTGTTATTGATTTATGTAACAAAATTCTTGTATAACTTTGAAACTAGATCCAAAAGTCCAGTTACTTTATGAGCCATAAAAAGCCTCAGAAAAACAAAAAACAAAGTTATATTAGAGTAAGTGCAAGTTTAGAAATAGTTAGATATTGGAATTAAATTGGATAGGTGCCTAATATAAAAGAAAATAACTGAGTGGAAAAAATGGTAGTAATTGATCATCTCTATCTCTATCAGTAAAAAAAGTACAGTTCAGATCAAACTCGCTTTTATAGAGCTATATAAAGTTTGCAACAAGAACAAGTGATATTCAGTAAATAAAATATCTCAGAGACTGGATTGTTGAACATTTATTAAACTTTTACATTAAAACATTTTTTTTTATTACATTAACAATTATTGTTATTGTATTATAAAGATGAATTACAATACAATAATTATTGTTATTGTAGTGGGTCATTACAATACATTTTTTTTTCTTCAGATATTGTTATTGTATTATGAAGATGAACTGTGATACAATATTTATGGTTACTGTATTACAGTATTAAAATAATTGTAAACCACAAGTATTGTTATTGTTTTTAAAAAAGTTAATACAATAACAATAGTTATAGTTTTTGTTTTGTTTTCATTACAATTACAATAGTCCGAACCATAGCAGAGGTTGAGCTTTTTATTTTTAAAATTAATAAGAGAGTTTTTTTTTTGTCAATTTTTTGTTTTAAAACAAAAAAAAAAATTTTTGAACAGGTTACAATAGTAAAGAATATTTTTAAAAGCTTTTAAAAATAATAACTTTTAAAATAAATAAAAGATAAACTACTTGTATTAAACTAAAATTTAATACATGCAGGATTTTATTTAAATATTTTTTCTAAAACTGTTAAAATAGCGTATTTATTTATTCATAATCTCCATAATCTTTAAAGATGTCCTTAATCTCCCTTATACATATAACCAAATGTCGAGTGACTTCGAATACTTGACTAGAATTTTTAAAATAGTTTTTAAACATTGAAAATCGAGAAATACAAAGAAAGTCTAAATTTTAAAAGATACTTTAATCATTGCAGTACTTAAAAATGTATTTAAAACTTGAATATCAGTTATCCAACAGTTATAGTTCATTTGATAATTAATTTGTGCATTTTTTTTATAAATATCACTTTGTAATATATTTTATTTATAGCAACACAGTTAGCAACAATATTTTCCCTAACATAAATTCCATAAAAAATGGTCTACTGTATTCCATCAGTAATTCATTGGTATTTAACTTTAAACCAGTGTGTATATGGTCTTTATATAGACAATAAAATCAAAAACACATCATTGCCAATTAATTATGACAAATACCATTATTTATTATTACCTTTATTTTACGAGATCTTCAAAAAGAAATGAATTTTGATAACCTGTTTGGAGTTAACAAGAAATCCAGAAAATCAACTAATATATTATCCAATAACAGCCAGCTCATCTTTAAAAGTAAATGAAGTGTCATGATCTGAAATACTTCAATATTTCATTATGTTTTTACCTTTTACAGAAATATTATTAATATTGTGTAGATTTCTACTAAATTTATTGATGATGTATTTTCTGACTTGCAAAAAAATGTTATTGTCATTATTATTAACATCTAGTAATTATTATTATTATTATTATATATATATATATATATATATATATATATATATATATATATATATATATATATATATATATATATATATATATTTATACATATATATATATATATATATATATATATATATATATATATATATATATATATATATATATATATATATATATATATATATATATATATATATATATAGATATATATGTATATATATGTATATATATATATATATATTCATATATATATATATGTATATATATATATATATATATAAATATATATATATATATATATACATATATATATATATATATATATATATACATATATATATATATATATATATATATACATATATATACATATATATATATATATATATATATATATATATATATATATATATATACATATATATACATATATATATATATATATATATATATATATACATATATATATATATATATATATATATATATATATATATATATATATATATATATATATATATATATATATATATATATATATATATATATATAATGTTAAGCAGCGGTAAAGCAACTTATTATGGCCCTTTAATAGCCAATGCAACTAAAAGCAGCACAACGGACGTGCCTCCAAGGTACACTCACCTCAAAGGTACATTACTCTCCCCAATATTATTTATTACAATCGAAATCCTGATTATAAAAGACTCTTTGTAAAAAGTATTCACAAATCTTTTAATTAATAAAAATTTATCAATAAATTAAAAAAGTTTTAAATTTTTTAAATTTTTCATATATGAAATCTTTCTCAGAGTATTCTTAAAGATTTAATTTATTTACACTTTGAAAAATTTTAGATTCATTACAAGTTCACTTTGCAACAAACTTATTTAATAATTTGTTTTTTTATTAAAGCATTAAAAGCAACTAAAAATTGCAGAATTTAAAACTTAGGATGTTTCAATATTAGAAGTATTATTTAGAATTTGATAAAAAATTAAATACAATAAATTAACTTCAACATAACTTGATTTTTACATATATTCATGAGTATAATAACACATACCATAATATATTGCTGTAACCAGAGAATTACTTAACCATCAAGAGTAATATTACACACTATTTGACTATCAATCGTTCCATGCAACATCAAATACATGTAATAATAAAAAAAATTAATACAATTACTTTTTTATTAATTTTTTGGTAGGCATTATTTGTACGCGCGTACAGCTAATTTTTTCTTATTTAAACGCGCGTACATTTAATTCTTTCTTAGTTGTACGCGCGTATTTAAACAAGTTATTTTTAATTATTTTGACGATTTCATGTAAAAGTTTAATTTAATTTAATTTAACTTTATAATTTTTTTTGTTTTGTTGTATAGAATACCTGCCCAAACCTAAACTCTCAGTAGATGTTTGTACACTCCACTGGGCCAATCCCTACTTAATTCAGTCGATGCGCTTTCACGCTACTGCGCCTATGCCTATTTAAGTCTGTCAATGTATTTACACTCCACAGTGCCTATTCCTAGTTAAGTTAGCATACTCCACTGCGACTACATCTAAATCAATCAATTTATGCATGCATTGATCCACTTATTCTATGAAACTTTAAAAAATAAAAATAAACAATAAATATAACTATTATAATAAATATAACTATAAATAAACAACAACAATTTGTAAAAAAACATAAAAATTAATTAGAAAAAAAACATTAAGATTAAAAATCTCCCCAATAAGGATTTATAACTTCAAACCCTGACACTCGCACCTTAAAAGAAGCAGATTTTTACAACCAGTGCACTGCATAATTATATCCACACCTGAAAAAATTAAAATATAAAAAAATTTTTTGCGTAAAAATAAGAGTTTTATTACGTAAACCTTATTTGTAAGCACGCACAAATGATGACTTCGTAATTTTTTAGTTCAAAATGAGATTTTGAATAGCTAGCTATTCACAATTTTCTATTAGCTAGCTAATAAAACGCGGACTAAAAGAGTTATTCTAATTATTCAAAAAGATAATGGCTTCTTAAGTCTGCGTTTTATTAAAAAGTCGAAATCTTAAAGAACGTCAAGTAAACGGAAATAGCCATTTAGGTAACTGAATTTTATGCAAAAAAAATTTTTTTTACGTTTTTTGAGGTAGTGTTAGGCATATGTATTTTTGATGTGTTTCTTTTAAGAAACATATATAAGGAATTTCGCCAGTTACTGGCTACATTTTTACAAGAATCACCCATTGCAGAAATAAACTAAAATATATATTGTATATCAATTGTCAAATTGTAGATAATTTAAAACTCTATCATCAGCTTCCTCTGATGTGAAAACAAAAAATTTAAATTAGAGTATATCTTCTATAATTTGTGGTGAAGGGTGAAGAAGTAAGAACATCAGAGTCTTTATCTAATGGACTCAATAAATCAGCAAATGAAAATTAAAATTTGAGATTTATTATTGTTTTGTGAGTAGCTAAAGTTTTATTATTTATATCTGGGTGTTGCAAACATTCATTATTGCATTTGAAAAATATCTTCTACTTCTTCAAGTCTTAGTTTTTTATAAATATCCAAATCCACTGTTTTGTCTTGAATAGAAAAATTAATTGACTAATTTTTTATTGTGAGAAATATTCTTGCATAGTTATGATCTGATAAATCAGGCAATTACAGAAGATTTTTTATTTATGGCTCTTCACATACATTTTAAACTGGCGCAATATCTGAAACTATACTATGTAAGTTATTCGGGATTTATGCCTCATTTTGAACAGCATATGGATTGAAAAGACAAGTTCCACAAGCGCGAAATCCTGAAAATATATTTGAATCAGTCATGGCAAATTACTGTAAAAAATGTCACGCCAAATTCTTCAATGTCCCATGAGAATGTTTAATTTTCACGTCACTTTTAAATTTTTACAAAAAAATGCTTAAAGTCGCGCGACTTGCTACTTATAACAAGCAGTTATCAATGTCGCGCAGAGTATAACTGTTTAAATGTTACGCCATACTAATATATTTCGCTCCATGCGCTAAATGTCGCGTGACCAATAAAACGTATCAGTGTCCGCAGTGAAAAAAAAGGAATATCACATTAATTACTTTTTCGTGACTTTAATGTCTAAAATAATTAAAGTTTCTTATTTATTAAAATTTATGCCAGTGTTTTTGCTGTAGATGATAATTTGTTCACGTTTAAATTTAAAGGTAAATATTTCTTTGCAACGAGTTAATAAATACACTTAACATAAGTTGTCATAACTTATGAGAGTAAATTAAGTTATTAATAGATCTGAAACAAGTATTTTCAATGATATATTAGGAATACCTACTCTTAATTTATAATTGTTATTCTTAATACATTATTGAGTATTTTAAGCTTGTTTTATTATTTGCAGATCACACAAATTTATTTTACGCACATAACGATATAAATATTCTGTTTAAGTCAGTAAATAAAGAGCTATTAAATCTTTCTGAATGGTTTCATGCAAATATATTTTCTCTAAATGTAACTAAAACAAAATATACTTTTTTCCATTGTTTTCACGATTGAGATAAAATTCGTTTAAAACTTCCAAAACTAATCAGGGGCCGTATTCTCATCTCTCCGTTAAGCTTAACGGAGCGTTAGTAAAAAATTTCTTTTTTACTATATTAATAAAAAAGTTCTTTAAAAATATAAATTTTTAAAAATAAATGTTTTATTTTAGTATTAGTTTTATCTTAAAAAATTTAAATAAGATTTTCGTCATTTCTTTACTTAGATATATTGTAATGAAATTTCAGACAAAAGCTCCGTTAAGCTTAACGGAGAGATGAGAATACGGCTGCAGGACATAAAAAGAGAAACCACATTAAAATTTCTTGGCGTACTTCTTGATGAAAATGTGACGTGGAAAGATCACATACATTATCTTGAAAATAAAATCTCAAGGAACATTGGCCTACTCTGTAGAGCAAAGCCTTTTTTGAATCCAACTTGCTTAAAGCTTTTATATTTCTCATTCATTCATTGCCATCTTAATTACGCAAACATTACTTGGTGCAGTACAAATAAAAATAAAATAAAAAAACTATTTAACAAACAAAAACATACAATTAGAATCATTTACAGTGTGGGCCGTTTTACACATTCCCAAGAACTGTTTGTTAATTCAAATATAATGAATGTCTACCAAATAAATATCTATCATCTTCTTATATTTATGTTCAAAATTAATAAGAATATATCTCCGAAAATATTCTACCCTCTATTCAAAATAAATCAGAACAGATATCTAACCAGATTTTCAAATAACAGTTACATTCAACCCAAAAGGTATTTTGCGGCGACTGAATTTTCAATTTCTACAAGAGGACCAAAATTATGGAATAAAATATTAACAAATAAACTTAAATCAATTGCAACGCTTAATTAGTTTAAAAACAAATTGAAGCAAAAACTATAAATGAAGCTCAGCTTTTTCTGAAGTATTAATGATTGCTACTAATAAGTAATAAGAGGTTTGTCATTATCAGCTTGACGATTTTAGAAAAAATCATGTCACTTGTTACTGATTCATTTCTTCTTTTATAAAAACTTATGATTTATAAAAATTCTCCAGATAATTTAAGGTATCTGCTGGTGTAAAAGGAAAGCTTCAGGATTATGCGTATTTGCCTGCATGCTTTTTAATAATAGAGTTTTTATTATGCTAAACATTTTTTTTTCTCTTTTTTTTCCTTTAAATTTGTATTTAAATTTTTCATAACCAATACAAAACTAAAAAATTAAAGTTAAAGAACATAAGAACTATTATTTTTATTTATAAAATCTTAAGAAAGTGTTTTATATTATATTGTGTTACGTTTTTTTAATTTGTTACGCTATTTTATATTTACGGTATAGATTAAGGGGCTTGGTGATAAAACAAATTATGTCTTCTTCTTTCCCCTGCTATTTGTATATATGTTATGCTTTACAACTTGAATAAATTTATATGGTAAAAAAAAAAAATGGCAATCAATTCCAGCGAAGAATAGCAATGTGTACATTGCTATTATTCGCTGGAATTGATTGCCAATCGATTATTTATAATTATTATTATTGTTAAACAAAACTTTATTAGGCTTTTATTATATATGCATATATGCAACCAGTAAACTAAAAATTTTTGAGTACTTTTAACAGGGCTCTCTACTTTTTTAGAGTTTTCTTATAATTTAGTACATTAATTATATAACTTATGGATCCAAAACTCTACAAAGAAGTTTAAAATCAAGAAATGCACATTTAAAAAATATAAACATAAAGTATAACATATTTAAAACATAATAGACCAACTTGCGTCACGTTAAAAATAAATATAAATTTTTATTATGTTATGAAAAGTAATAAAATATGTTATATAAAACGGTGAATCTATTTTTTAGTTTCCGTTTCTCCAAAAAATTTACAATTCACATGCACAAAAGCTAGATTTTCTCCATGTTCTGCAGTTAGTCGGGACCGTGTCGATTCATAAATATTTCCCCCAGTACTAAACAATCTTTCACTGAACGCAGAAGAAGGCGGAGCTCTTAAGTATTTTTTGGCAAGGTATGAGATGTTTAAAAAATTACTAGAGTGTTTCTTTACACATTTTTTTTTTGTAATTTCCCCACCATTTATATGGACATTCTTTTTGATGCAGAATAGGCAGTGATAAGTAAAAGTTTATTTCGTCAGTTCTAAAAGAAAAGTAAGTAAACAAAAAATATAAAAACTAAACTAAAATGTAAAGTACGAATTTTTATTATTAAAAGTTGTTAAATATTAATGAATATTAGTAATATTATTTTATTTCATTTTATTTTTCAATTTTTATTTGTTTATGATAATTTAGAATTTAGTTTTATCTATAATAATTTATTATAAATTAGAAAAGAACAAAAAGTTATCAAAGTTCTTATTTAAAAAAATCATTTTAACTTACATTTTTTCTTTTTTCTCTGAATAAATTTGTGCCTCTGTTGAAAGTTTTTTACAGTTCTTTAATTTTGTTGATTTTGTTAATTCAGTGTCAAGAGGTGCTTTTGAAACTTGATAAAAATTGTATATCTTTTCTGCCATTTTTAATTATTTGAGTGGAGAGCTAGGTTCTTGGGTTGATTCAGATGAAGTGTTTGTTTCATTATCTGATTGAGTTGTCGGTAGTTAAAAGGCAATCTGTAATATCAGTTTTATTTAGGTTCATGTATTTCTCTTGAATA